GACCAAAATTACAAAATTTTAGGTAGACTTTAGTTAGAATGATCAAATTATTAGAAAGCCAAGTGCACAGAATATATACTTGAATTCTAATCCAGTCTTTCGTTGAAATATTAGTTGCCTGATACGATAAGTATTCTCTACATGTAATTAAATTTTGGTAGTATTGGAGTTTGAACTCACGGCCTTAAGCTTGCTAAGTAGGTACTCTTTTTTCCCAACCCTTTTTGTTTTAGGATTTTGGGTGGGGTAGCCTACTTTTGCCTTGTCTAACCTTGAAGCAAGATTTTTCTATTTATGTTCCCAAATAGCATTCACTTTGTCTACCTACCTGATAACTTTTTAGTACACTTTTAAAAAAATAATAGTACCTACAGTAGTGTCAATTTCAAATTCAGTTAACTTGATTCTGGGCATGATGTTGTATATCTAGACAAGTGAAATTCGGTCTCAGCACTCTTCTCCTGTCCCACAAATAAGAATTCAGATAATTAAATATCAATAGTAAAAATATTTGGAAAGAAGATAATACAGATAATTCAGTCATTTGATTTTTGGCTAAATTCTAGAAAATGTAGAAAATCTTATTATAACCTTCCTTTTACCTGGTGGCTGGTTAATTTCTTTTAAAATAAAACATCTTGATATAGGAAACGTGACAATTTGTCTTAAAATTAAATAGATTTGCACCATATATCAAAGACAACAGTTCTGTCTGAGGACTTAGTTTTTGCTAATGATGGTAAATTATGTCTCATAATTTCAAGACAAAACAAATAAGGAAAATTACAATAATGTAATGGAAAAGATTTATGTCTTAGCCTGCTACCATGTATAATACAACTTTATTTGTTGAATTAAATAAACTTTTTACCTTAGTGGGAAGATAGGAAAAAACTGTCTTATGAAAGTATATTTTGAAAGAAATGAAAACATTTGCTTGTTTTACACAGATTTTTCATTTTTCTTTTAATGCTGCAAATAAACTACTTACCTTTTCATGGGTTATTTAATACTTTAGAGGCTGTGGTGGCACAGAAGGAAGACCAGGGCAAGGCACTAGGTGAGCTGTTTCTACCTGTGACATGACAACTTAGTAGTTGTTCATTTGTTTTGTTCACTCATTTATTCCTTCTCTTTTCATCACCGCACTAACCTGTCAGTCTGTGTACTTATCCATTTCCTTAAGTCATTCAATATAGTTATTCTTTATATTATTATCAAATCCTTATGACTTATTTGGTCCTATGATATATTTGAGGATATGTAATACAAGGCAACTTTATCCAGTAGGCATCATAGTTTTGTGCCTGGGAACCTCTTCATCTTTAATAGGTCATTTTATATCGACACAGTTGATTATAGGATACTGCCCCAGATTTTCACTGAGTGGTGGTGGTGGTGGTGGTGATGATGATGATGATGATGAAGATGGAGTTATACAAAGAGGTTTCAATTCCATAAGTCAGATTTTGAATACAATGCATCTTGGTCAGTGTTACTCCTTTCATTGTTTTCCACATTTGCCCCTTTCCATCTCTACAATCAAATTATGTGGTTCAATTTTTACATAATATATTTTAGATGTAATGACTACATTTGCTTACCATTTTTCCCTCCATTTGTGTAACCCTGCTCATTGTCCCCCTACCTCAAATATATTTCCTCTTTCACTAAGAATTTAAGGAATACTGTTTTACTGACCTTTTTCAAAATCAGGAAAGTTGACTTTGAAAACACATTTGGCCTTATGGTCAGCTGTGGCAAAATCTGGGTACATTTTCTGCAGTTACATGAATATGAAAGTATTTACTTAACAGTAAATTTTATCAATAATGTCAGTGTGTACAGGAAAGATATCAACACTTTTGCTTGAAGATTATTTTGTTTTGTTTAGGTTTTGTTTTTTGATTTTAGGCTTATAGGCATGAGCCACCAGTTCCAGAAGGAAGTTTTTTTTTAAGTGGACTATAATAGACCTACATTTTGGAGAGTTAGGCAGCAGTCTGAATATAATTCATATTTTGCTTGAAATCTCTTAGGAACACTGTCTTTTTTCCTGAATGAGGTTTGATGTGAAGTTTTAATGATTGTTTTCACTCTGACTATGGAAGAAATAATTTAGTGTATTTGTGTTTACGGAGGGAGTTTTACAACAAATAGCACAATATCTTGAAATTTGAGAATTACATTATAATTCTTAATGTAGGAGGGTGTTTGTTTAATATGAGTAATCTAGAAGCTAGGTATTGTGGCCTTTGCCTGTGAGCCTAGCATTTGGAAAACTTGAGGCAGGAAGGACTTGAATTTGAGGCTAGTATGTGTTCCATAGTGAGTTACAGGCCAGCCTGGGTTACTTAAGAGAGACCATGTCTCAAGAAAGAAAACAAAAAGACCTTCCAAAACTAGAAAATTAAGCCTGTTGAAGGTGTATCAACTTGATACAGCTTTTGCTGTTTAAATTACCATTATACATTTTGTGTTTGTGTGGACACATAGTTGACATTGCATTGACTTGTTTCCAGCATTGAGATTGTTTTTTCAGTGTTATTATGAACATTTACTCTCTTGATCATGTTATAACTTAATTTCTGATTTTTTTTTATTCTGTGTTTTTTTTTTTCATTGTTCTGTTGGGGAGCTTGAACTCCAGGCCTGAGCGTTATTGAGCCACTCTGTGTTCCAGGCTAGTTATCTACCACTTGAGCCACAGCACCGCATCTGGCTTTTGAATGGTTAATTGGAGAAATGAGTCTCATGGGGACTTTTCACCTGGGCTGGCTTCGAACTGCAATCCTCAGATCTCAGCCTCTTGAGTAGCTAGGATCACAGGTGTAAACTATTAGTGCCTGGCTTAATTACTGATTTTATAGGGATTTTTTTTTTTACTAGAAATTTTGCTTGCTCTGGGACAGGTTACACTTTTTTTGTTGTTGTTGTTGGTTGTGGGGCCTGAACTCTGGGCCTGGGCGCTGTCCCTCAGCTCTTCAGCTCAAGGCTAGCGCTCTACCACTTGAGCCACAGCATCACTTCTGGCTTTTTCTGCTTAGGTGGTGCTGAGGAATCAAACCTAGGGCCTTATGCATGCAAAGCAAGCACTCTACCACTGAGCCACTTTCCCAGCCCCCACTTTTTTTTTTTTTAAAGAGGAAAAAGTAGTAAATAATTTGGACTTTGTAGGGTTATATGATCTTCATTTCAACTTTTCAATTCTTTCTCCTGGAAAGTAGCATCCATAGATTGTAAATGATTGTTCTAATAAGTTATAAACTTACTGCTCCAGTGGAACAGTGAGTTGATGATAAAGGGAGCCATATAAGAGTTCTGCAGGTAATCAAGTTTTGGTTTTTGGTTTTGTTTTGCCAGTCCTGGGACTTGAACTCAGGGCCAGGGCACCATCCCTGAACTTCTTTGCTCAAGGCTAGCACTCTATCATTTGAGCCACAGTGCCACTTCTGGCTCTTTCTTTCTTTCTTTCTTTCTTTCTTTCTTTCTTTCTTTCTTTCTTTCTTTCTTTCTTTCTTTCTTTCTTTCTTTCTTTCTTTCTGTCTCTCTCTCTCTCTCTCTCTCTCTCTCTTTTTTGGTCGATCGTGGGGCTTGAACTCAGCTTGGGTGCTGTCCTTGCATTCTTCTGCTCAAGGTGAGCGCTCTACCACTTGAGCCACAGCGCCACTTCCGGTTTTCTAGTGGTTTATTGGAGATAAGAGTCTCATGGACTTTCCTGCCCAGGCTGGCTGAACTGCCATTCTCAGATCTCAGATCTCCCGAGTAGCTAGAATAACAGGCATGAACCACCAGTGCCCGGCTACTTCTGGCTTTTTCTGTTTATGTGCTACTGAGGAATCAAGCCCAGGGCTTCATGCATGCTAGCTAGGCAAGCACTCTACCACTAAGCCACATTCCCAGCCACATAATCAAGTTTTTATCTATATGATGTGCTCATGTTAGCTTAAGGCTGTGCCTTACCTCTTGAGCCATGCCTAATGTGGTCATGTTGAGTGGTTTTCTGGGTAAGTTTTGAGGGTCTTTGAGAAAAGAGCTTTGCCATGCTGGTGATAGGTCCCAGAATTCCCTTTTATAGTGAGGAATATATATATATATGTCATACACTTTTTTGGATTTTAGATTTCATTTTTACATGTATAAAACCTTTTTCAAATGTTTTACTGACTTTATAGTAGAATCTTAAACATTTGTAATAGCAAAGGGTTGTAGTGTAGCAGTAATTTTTGTAGTAATTTTGGTAGTAAAGCCACCCATCCAAAGAAGCAGATTGTTTTTTGTGTTTATTTTTGTGCAGTATTGGGCTTGAACTTTGGGCTTCACACTTGCTAGGGTTGGCATTCTCCCATTTGAGCCAGGTCTCTAGCACTCTGGATTTTCTTGTTTTAAATTCTGGGGATTGAACATGTTTTGTACATGTTAAATGCTCTGCTATTGATCTGTGTTTTTAGTTTGCAGTTTTTGAGATAAAGTTATGATATGAACCTCAAACTGGTCTTGAGTTTTCAATTCTCTTGCCTCCATCTCATTGCTTGGATTACATACAAATGAGCACCAATACATCTAGTTAGATTTTTTTTTAATTTTAATTATTTTTTTTCCGTCGTGGTGCCTGAACTTTGGGCCTGGGCTCTGCCCCTTAGCTCTTTACCTCAAGGCTAGGTGCTTTTCCACTTGAGCCATGGCACCACTTCTGGCCTTATCTGATTATGTGGTGCTGAGGAATTGAACCCAGGGTCTCGGGCACTCTATCACTGAGCCACCTTCCCAGCCCACCTGGTTAGATTTTTTAATATAAGCATAGTTTATGTATGACTTGTATTTTGGTTTATTATAGTTGTTACTTTTTTGTTTATTAGGTTTAGAGCAAAATAGAAGAAAGATAAATCTAAGACACTATAATCCTTAGTCACAGAGTAGGCATAATAAAATTTATATAATTATTTTGTTTTCCATAAAGTGGCTGACAATGATGCAATTCTTATTTAAATAATTTTCAGACATGAAGAAGAACATCGTCGTCGTGAGGAAGAAATGATTCGACATAGAGAACAGGAGGAACTGAGGCGACAGCAAGAAGGCTTTAAACCAAACTATATGGAAAATGTAAGTAAAATATTAACTAAAATTATATGATCAAATGGGTGGTATATCTTTGGTAAATTTAAAATTTTTGTTTATATAATTATATTTTCTAATTTTTATGAATTTCATGCAGTTGCTAAACTAATGACTTTTCTTAATAGTAAATCTTGTTTTGAAGTAATATATTTTATGGAATAACAACAGTTTTTCTATTTCAATGGAGATTTTGAAAGTATACACTACCAAGTTTGAAAAGTTTGAAATCTTGATGTATGCATCATCATTACTTGACTAATTACCATATACTATTATTAACAAGTCTTTATTTGGGAAGATTTCAGACATGCAAAAGGAGACTGGTATCTGATCATCATTCATCCATAACAACTAAACACATGGCTGATCTTTTTCATCATTTAAGTTCACCCATTTTCTTACTATTGTATTTGAAATAATTTGACTTCAAGTATTTTCAGTATGTATCACTTAAAGATGATCTCTCTCTTCTTTTGAATCTTAATCATTTCTTAGAATTGTCAGTATGTTAATATTGTAATAAATTAATTTGTACAGGTATTTTTATTTGGTGCTGTCCTGGAGCTTGAACTCAGCATCTGTGTACTGTCCCTGAACTTTCTGAGTTAAGGCTAGTTTAAGGCTAATGCTCTACCACTTGAGCTGTATCTCCACTTCCAACATTTTTGTAGTTAATTGGAGATAAGGGTCTCTTGGACTCTCCTGCCAGGCTGGCTTCAAACTGTGACTCTCAGCTTTTAATCTTCTGAGTAGCTAGCATTACAGCCACTAGTGCCTGGTATACAGTTGGTTTTGTTATGCTTAACTGTTTTATAGGTTTTTCTCTCCTTTTTTTTTTTTTTTTGGGTCCGGTTGTGGGGCCTGAACTCTGGGCCTGGGTGCTGTCCTCAGCTCTTCAGCTCAAGGCTAGCGCTCTACCACTTGAGCCACAGCGCCACTTCCGGCTTTTTTCTTTTTACTTATGTGGTGCTGAGGAATCAAACCCAGGGCCTCAGGCATGCAAGGCAAGCGCTCTACCACTGAGCCATCTTCCCAGCCCATCCTTTTTTTTTTTTTTTTTTAAATAGTTTTTTTCCCCAGGGTTAGGGCATCATTGTGTAGACTGTCACATCCAAAATTTTGTTGGTTAAATCATGGCGTTTATTCATTTTTTTACCCCATCATTTCCTACAAACTAGCATTAGTTCAAAACAGTCCTGTCCAGACTTTCACTCTTAGGGGGTAAGATAGAATAAATCAGAATACATAAAAAATTAAAAGTTTTAATTAACAAAAAGTTGCACTTTTCATCTTGAAAAAATGCCAGGGTAACTAATTATTTTGAAAAATACTTTTACTTTTTGATGTGGAAAGGCACCCCCTACCTCTGCCCCCCTCCAGCTGTCCTGGCATTTAAGTGCTTAGTGCCTTGTATTTCAGTTGCTTTCTCATGGCTGGCACTCTACCCCTGAGCCTAATTAGAGATGTAGTCTCGCAGATTTTTCTGCCTTGGCTGACTTTATGCCATAATCCTCCAGGTCTCAGCCTTCTGAGTAGCTTGGATTACAGGCATGAACCACAAGTGCCCAGCTAGCTAGTTGGTTAAGTTTTTTGAATTTCATTGATTAATTTTAAAGTTCTTTTTTCTTCCTTTCATACTAAATACAGTGTCATATCTTTGCTTTCATCCTGAGTTTTTCAGCTATATGTGTATATCAGTCTGTTGGTTTTATCAACATAATATAAGACTGTTTTTCCAGGTCCATATTTAAAAATTAGGTAATACTCTTAGTGTTTTTATGTTCAGTAATTTCATGTAAATCATGTGTGATATATAAGGCAACTACTATTGAGATTTAGGAAATTCTACCGATTCCTCTTATTTACCTGAATATTTATTTATTTTTTTGTCCGGTCGTGGGGCCTGAACTCTGGGCCTGGGCGCTGTCCCTCAGCTCTTCAGCTCAAGGCTAGCACTCTACCACTTGAGCCACAGCGCCACTTCCGGCTTTTTGCTTATGTGGTGCTGAGGAATCCAACCCAGGGCCTCAGGCATGCAAGGCAAGCGCTCTACCACTGAGCCACCTTCCCAGCTCCATACCTGAATATTTATTGAAGGATTTACTTACAGTAAAATAATTCAAACATTCTACATATTTTTTTTCTGACATGTGCTTTACAAGTTTTAGAGTGAGTGTATAGCTGTTGATGATGATATATTCCTAAGTAATCACATTAGTAAACTAGAAGAAAATAATTAGGTAAAATCTATTCTTATGCTTAATTTGATTAAGTTGGTCATATGATAAATCTTAGAAATAATTTACAATTGAAAGTTAAATGAGTTTTTTTCCTCTTGTCTCCATTAAACCACTAGAAAATCAGAAGTGGTGCTGTGGCTCAAGTGGTAGAGCGCTTGCCTTGAGCTGAAGAGTGCGGGGGAAACCGCCCAGGCCCAGAGTTTAAGCCCCATGATGACAAAAAGAAAAAAGCTTATCTATCTATTTATTTTTGTGCCAGTCCTAGGGACTTTACTCAGTACCTGGATGCTGTCCCCTGAGCTTTTTTTGCTGCAGCCTAGTGTTCCACCACTTGAGCCACACTCCCACTTCTGGCTTTTTTGGTAGTTAATTGGAGATAAGCGTTTCATGGACTTTTCTGCCTGGGCTGGTTTTGACCTTGATCTTCAGATCTCAGTCTCCTGAGTAGTGAGATTGTAAGTGTGAGTCACTGGGGCCCAACCTGAATTTTATTGTTTTGTCTTAAAATGTATTTAGAAAGGAAACATGATAGCACCTGCCTGTAATCCTAGCACTTGAATGTTGAGACTGGTGGAATGTGAATGGACTTCAGTAACATTTCTGGCAACATTTCAGGTCAAATTTAAACTCTATAATGAGACATTGTCTCAAAACAACAACAACAACAACAACAAACACACACACACACACACACACACACACACACACACACACACACACACACACACACACACACACACACACACACACACATACACACACGGCTATAGATAGCCCTTCTTATTATTTGGAAGTATTTTGCTTTCAAAATTTAGTTAATATAGCTACTCAGGAGGCTGAGATCTGAGGACCGAGGTTCAAAGCCAGCCGGGGCAGGAAAGTCCCTGAAGCTCTTATCTCCAATAAACCACCAGAAAACTGGAAATGGTGCTGTAGCTTAAGTGGCAGAGTGCTAGCCTTGAGCTGAAGAGCTGAGGGACAGTGCCCAGGCCCAGAGTTCAAGCCCTACGACCGACCAAAAAAAAATTTTTTTTTTAGTTGATACATAAAACTTTATTAGTATTCACTGGATTTCAGGAATAGATGAATTTGATCATTTGTTGTTTTACAAGATTACACTGTTGAAAAGGATTAGATAAATAGTAAGATACCTTCTTTTCAAGTTTTTACAAAAGTATGTATTGGATATATTATGTAACAATGTAATTAATTGGGCTAGAGTAGAGCAAATTATAGCCTGGGACCACTGTCCATTACCCAAGTACAATTCTACTACAGAAATAGGGATGGACCTATGATTTTAAAAAGCTTATTGGCAACAAGACAAAAGGAAAAGTGGGAATGGTTTTACTTACCTGTAGTCTTGGCTAAGGCAGGAAGATTAGTGAGTCCAGAAGTTTGATGCCAGTTTGAACATGTTAGCAAGACCTGGTTTCAAAACAAAAATTTTAAAGATTATTTTTAATACACAATTAAAGAGCATTTGCTATCTGGTCCTTTATTAAAAAAAACTTTCTGGCTGAGCACCAATGCATGGGCTACAATATTTGCTGTTTTTTTCCCCATAAGTTAGTATTTATGTTAGGCTGCAAAAAGGCTTATTAGTATAAACTAATCAAGCACTAAGAGAATTCTTAACAAAAGTTCTTCATACATCTCAACTGCTAATAGTAAAACATCTTGATAACATTTGTACACTAAGGCAAGTTGTCTGAATTGTCCTTCATTTGCTTTGAAAACTGTCTTTGAAAGAAATTGCTAACAATTTTTTTTTTTTGGGTCAAGTCGTGGGGCCTGAACTCCAGCCTGGGCGCTGTCCCTTAGCTCTTCAGCTCAAGGCTAGTGCTCTACCACTTGAGCCACAGTGCCACTTCCAGCTTTTTTCTTTTTGCTTATGTGGTGCTGAGGAATCAAACCCAGGGCCTCATGCATGGAAGGTAAGTGCTCTACCACTGAGCCACCTTCCCAGTCCATTTGTGAACAATTTTAATCCGTGTTTAAAGCTTTGAAATTAGGTTTTCTTCATTGTTCAATTTAAAAGGAAGAATGAGTTGGTAAATTCATTGCCCAAGTAATAATAGTAAAGTTAATTTTCATGGCTAGTTAAGACTCCACCTCTCATTTATTATTCTTTTTTTTATTGTGAACATACTGTACAGAGGGGTTACAATTACATGGACAAGATAATGAGTACATTTTCATTTATTATTCTTTAATATATTCTTACTCAGGCTGAGAATGTGGCTTAGTGGTAGAGTGTTTGCCTAGCATGTATGAAGCCCAGGGTTCGATTCCCTAGTACCACAGAAACAGAAGAAGCCAGAAGTGGCGTAGTGGCTCAAAGTGGTAGAGTGCTAGCCTTGAGTAAAAGCAGCTCAGGGACAGTGCCCAGACAGTGCCCCCACCCCTTGCAAAACTTGCTACTCAGGAAATTGAGTCCTAAGGATTACAGTTCAAAGCCAGCTCAGGCAGGAAAGTCCATGAGACTCTTTCTCTTTAACCACCAAAAAAACTGTACATAGGGCTGTGGTTTAAGTGGTAAAGCACTAGCCTGGAACACAAAAACTCGGGGACAATGCTCAGTCTCTGAGTTCAAAGCCCCACCCCACCATTGTACTGGGATCAAAAACAAAACAAAGATTTGGAAATAAGGCATATTAAATGCTGTAGCATATTAAATGCTGTTAGAGATGCTACATTGTTAACATTTTGGAGTTTTTGATACTGTAGTATCCTATGTGAGAC